GTGTGTGTGTGTTTGTGTGTGTGACGACATAAATATGTTGCAGTAGGCCTTTACGCAACTTTCACGTGGCCAAAACAAACTCTAATGGAATCTGAGGTTTTTGCTATTTAAAAAAATAAAGCTTTATTATGTTTAATATTCTTGTAAATGTTGGTGATTTCAAGAAAATAACTTCTAATCGTATTACATTTTTACGCATTGGGTATTCCTGCACGCGCTCATGAACATTTTGTACAAATCTGATCTGTGTGAACAGACTAAAGTCTTGACTTGTCGCTGCAGTCCAACCAGTAAAATAAATCCTGACAGGTGTCATTCAAACTACCTGCTTACCACCAAAACAAGTCTGACCACACCTAGACTCAACTGGGATTACCTTTATTCGTCTTTTCTGCTCTCTCCTTCTCATTTTCTTCTGTTTCCTCCGCCGAGGAGATTTCTCCATCCGAGGAGTCACGCGCCTCTTCGGCGCCCGACGTGGCGTGAGGCTGCAGGTTTCCCGCGGACACTGGCTCTCCCTGCTCCGCGTCCTTCCCCTCCGGCGCCGCGGCTGCTGGAGCAGAGGCTGGGGTTGGTGGGGTGTGGAAGCGAGCGACATCAGTGGGGTGCAAGCCAAAATGGGAATGAGAAGGGTTCGACTGGGGTCCGTTGGTGTTGTAAAGTTTATGAGAATGCGCGTGCGTCTGAGACAAGCGGAAGTAGCCCGGCACAGGCACTGAACCCCCGCCGCCATCCGGAGCTGTGCAGGCGGAAGTCAATCTTGAATATGTGAGGTCTTCGGCCGTGGACGCTTTGGGGCACTTGGGCTGCTCGTACAGGCAGTAGGTGCTCTCTTCCTTGATATTCTGCGGGAACGTGCACGGTGCGACATGGGGACCCGCTGAGTGCTCTTGTTCCATCCGACATGACCTCTGCGCGTCCATCCACATTTCCATGCTGGACATATACGCGCCCGACGCGGTAACCATGTTTTGGTGACCCACCTCGCTCCGTTTAGCCACACCTGGGAAGTATCCATAGTTGTGTAGTCCATAAGGCACTTCTGCAGCAGTGCTGTGGGGCACGCACACCGCGCTCCCAGCGTAATGACCTCCACCGCCCTCGCTGCGGCCACTGATCAGAGAATCTACTAAAAACGCGTTTCCTGACGGGCTGTCCGAACATGACATTATTGTGGTGTATTTTGGCGAAGGGAGAAGGTAGCCCTTTCTGGCTGACATTTCTTGTGCAAAACATGCTGGATATGATTAGAGGCACCCCACCCCCTCCTTCTGCTCCGAGCGGATTGTAACACCAATGGAAATGCTGGACGAAGGGCAGTCCCCTCCCACTCTGAGGCTACGTAGCTAGACCAAAGGATATCCATCATGGAGCTCAGGGAGAGAAAAAAAGACAGCAGAGCAATCAGTGCGTTCCCTCACCTCGCCTTAATGCACCACCATGCATGGAGGGTCCGAAGTCCAACACAGAGCACTGTTGTAAAATAAGCAGATTTACATTTTAAAAGGATGCACCTAAAGGAAATGTTTATTTTGAAGAACTTCCGAAACATTCTGGCCTCTGGTTGTTCCACGCGCAAATCACATCTTACCACAAATATCAGCAGAGACTGAAACAAAGAATTCAATCTGCAAACGCTTTAAAACGCAAAAACGCTCACAATGATGTGATTTAAATTGCAATTGCATATATATATATATATATATATATATATATATATATATATATATATATA